CACTCCTACTCCTCTTTGAAAACTTGCCTTTACTCCATGCATGGAGAAATCTTGAGGTAGGAACAAATTTAGTTAGAATCTAATTCTTTAGTGGGCATTTTTCTATTGGTAGCCAACAGTTTATTCTATGAATATCTCCTCTAGTATAGATTCATTTAATTTTATCTATATGGCTGCTTCTTAAGAATCAAAAGAAATCCTTAAAAATTACCAGATGTAGTCAATGTAAGCTTCCAGTGTTTCTTACAGATAACACTAGTTCTCCTCATGAGTAGTACCAAGTTCTGTAGAACAGTTTTTGTATTTTTTCGGTTTCTCCCTTTTCACTCACAATATGGCTGTCTGTTATGGTTTGGGTCTGAATGTCCCCGCAAAGCCTCATTTGGTCAGAGGTAGCTGAATCTGGAATGTGTGATGTTGGGATTAAGGGCATGTGATTAATAAACCACTACATGTAAATGAGTGGTTTGGCACAGCCCTAATCCCAGTAGTTTGGATGAGATATGAGGCAGAAAGAGGAGGTGAAGGTCTCTTGTTGCTTTTTGCTGTCTTCCACCACCATGAACAGTTCCCCTTGTTGCCTTTGCTGCCCTGTGCACGCCATGCTGTTCTCCTCTGCTATGCCTGTTTGCCATCCCGGCCCTGGAGCCAGCCGATTATGGACTGAAACCGCTTTCAAGTGTAAGCCAAATAAACCCCTTCTCCTCTAACTGTGAGCGTCTGGCATTTTGTCTCAACGAGAGAAAAGTAACTAACACGCTGTCATTCATTTCACTTATCTGTAAGCTGTGATCACCAAGTACATTGTTGCCTTTATTATTTGAATAAACTTATGTATGAAATCAATGAAGAATAAGAAAAATTAAAAGAATATTTCACCTTCCTTTCTTCTCTAACACTTTTTTTAAAAAAATGTAAATCCATACTTCTAACCTGTATCATTTGTATCATTTCTCTCTGAATTAACATATTTTAACATTTTTTGGAAGGCAGGTCTAGTGGGATAAATTTTCCTCAATTTTTGTCTGAGAAAGTCTTCCTTCACTTTTGAAGGATACTTTTGGAGGGCATTCAGAATTCTAGGTAGGTAGTTTTTTGTTTTGTTTTGTTTTTTCTTTCAACACTGAGCATTTCACTCTACTCTCCTTTTGCCTGAATGCTTGTGAAGAGAAGTCTGATGTAGTTCTTGTCCATTTCCCTCTTAGGTAAGTTCTCCTCACACTCCACTCCTGGCTTCTTTCCAGATCTTCATCTTTAGTTTTCTGCAGTTTTAATATGATATAGCTAGATGTAGGGCTATGTGTGTGTGTGTGTGTGTGTGTGTGTGTGTATTTGTCTTGGTTGATGTTCTCTCTACTTCCTGAATCTATTATTTTGTGTTGTCATTAATTTTAGAAAATTCCTAGGCATTATAACATCAGATAGTTCCCCTGTTTCCTATTTTCCTCTCCTTGTTATATTCTCATTGTGTAAAACTCTCACCTTTTATAATTGTCCCACAGTTCTCTCATATTGTTTTTATATTTTATTTTTCTCTATATATTTAAGTTTTAGAAGTTTCTGTTGGCAAATCTTCAGCACAGCGATTCTTTCCTTGGCCATGAGCATCAAAAGCCTCCTTCATTTCTGTTACAGTTTTTTTTTTAATCTTACATTTCCTTTTGATTATTAGAATTTCCATGTTTCTTCTTACATTAACCTATCTGTTGTTGTATATTGCCCCCTTTTTGCAATTAATACATTAATCATATTTGTTTTAAATTCTCAGTCTGATAATTCAGTATCTTTAGTCTGAGTCTGATTCTGGTGCTTGGTCTGTCTCTTCAGACTGGAGAGTTTTGGTTAGGTTTGGCTTGGATTTTGCTTTTTAGCCTGACTGGTACTTTTTTGCTGAAAGCTCGACATGATGTATCAAGCAAATCGAAGTGAGGAAGATAGGTCTAGTGTCAGGCTTATCTTCATTTGACTCGGAGTTAGGCAGTGTTTACTGTTATTGTAGCTGGGTTGTCTGAAGCTGACATTTCCTCCAGTGCCCTTTTTTTTGTATTCCCTATTGTCTGGGTTTTTCTTCCAGTGAGCTCAAATTGGGCATTTCTTTTCCTGTCAGGTCAATGAAGCTCTGGTAATTTTTCTGGTGATAAGGCCTTATTAAGAAAGTATGAGGATTATTTTTATAGTAATAGAAATACGAGAAGTATATTTCACAATTGTTACTTTCCCCCTCCTTGTCCAGAAGCAGGAGAGGGTTTATCTACAGGCTTCACCATGAGAACTTAGTAGGGCCCTTAGAAGTAACACCAGATTTTATCATCCATTCTTTAAGACTGGGCACCCTCCTAGTTTTTAACTCTTAAAATAGTCCACACTGATCCTCTAGCAGTTAACCGATTACAGTTTACTTCTAGTTCAATGCAGCCTTCAACTGAGGCTTCTGCTCCTGGACTTTTGCTGCCTAAAAACTCTATTCATAGCTGCTTGCCTGCCTCTGCAGTTTTCAGGGAAGCAGTTTGCCCTGTGCCCTCAGTTCTCTGATGTATCTAAGAAGAGTTATTGACTTTCAGTTTGTTCTTCTTTTTTCTTTTTGTGAGGCCCAGAGTAACTGCTTCAAGGCTCTTTATACACTGGATTGGAAACTAGAAGTTCTTATGTTTCTTATTAGAATGAAGATGCGATTTTAGAGCATGCTTAGTCTCTGAAGCCTTTTATTTTTCATTTCTGAACACAGCTTCCAGTGAATATTTGAACAAAGATGACACACTGACAGAAATACTTTTCTCATCTCCCTTTTGAAATTAAGTTTTCATTTTTTTTCTAAATGCAGACTGCAGTCCTATGCAATCTGGAAGGCAATGAATGAATCCTTGATGCTTTTTCATAAGCCTTGATTCAGCAGTTAGAAAAAACTTAAAATTGGAAGTACTTATCTTTCTCAAAAAATGTAGACAAGATGGACAGTTAGGAGAATTCATATCCCATTTTAAAGCACCTTTAATGTGCCTGCCACAGTCCTGTGACTAGAAAGAGAAATACAGATAGTATTCTAGGACTCATTGGGCAATAAACAGGTAAGTGATACCAAGTTAGTATGTTAGATGATATTCAGTCATTCCCACAGGAACATGGAGGTGGGACACTTGGTGTCCTGGAGGATTGAGGTGAGGCAAGGTAAGCTGCCTGAAATGGTTGAAGTGATTTATCTTTGGTTTGATGACTAAGGCTGAGAAGTATATTTTAAGGGGAGAAAACTGCCTATGAGATACATGGCTTAGTCTATGGTTGTTTTTCATCTGTACTCATCAGGAACTGGCAGAAAAAGTATAATAGCAAGTTAGGTAGTATTTCTCCAAGTCTTAACTGGATTTATGATTGTATTATTTATTTTAATATATTGTAAATTTCAGAATAGACACTTGCTTTATAAGGCAAATATAAGCAGTTCTTGAACTTCTTATTTTTTATTGTCTTGCAGTACTAAAATTGAGAAAATTGCTAAAAGGTTTGAACTGCCAAAATAGTGTTTTTTTCCTTCAAATTAAATTTCTTAAATATTTTTCCTAGTGGTAGAATTCAGTTGAGTTTGAGTTAAGCTTGATTAGTTTTGTTGTTGCTTTACCTGTAAGGATATTTTATGATTTCATAGGAATTTTTCAGAAAGGTTAAGCCACTCATTTTAGGTAATTTCATTTAGTTAAGCCACTTCACTTGAAGTGACAAGACATTATGTGACTTCAAACCTACTTTTGTGTCTAAACTTAAGTATTTTTAGTTTACTCTTTCAAGTTTACAGTACCACTACCTTCCAGTGAGAGTACAGTGAACATAAATTACTTCGTTGAAAGAAATTGAATACGAGAATACTATCAGATTAATATGTAGCAGATTATTATCTAGTTTTAATGTAGTGTCATAGCTTCTGAAATTACCATTTTCAAGTGAGATAAAGCTATTCTAACATACATATAAATACTGTTTCCAAGGTGAAATGATGTAATACACATACATAGAAGAATTTTGGGCCTCCTTGAAAAAAGCTGGATAAAAAAATCTATTTTAGGTTAGCACCAAAGCATTGAAATCTTAATTTTCTAAAAAACAAAAATGATCTTCTGGTGTTGTTTCATAAAATTTGACTTTTAATTATATTGCTGCTAAAATTATTCTGTGAGATAGCTTTCACGGGTAACTGAGGACATTTGAGGGAAGAGAAGCACTCCTCAAAATGACCATTAAAACTACCTATTAAATATTTGCTCTTGTTTCAGACATCCCTTTCCTTACTCAGTTGAATCCTTTTTATATTGCATTTCTCTGACACATTGTGCTTCTGTAATTTTCCACTCTTAAGGACTTACATAATTGGATTGGGTCCACCCTGATAATCTAGGAGAATCTTCCTATTTTAAGATCAGTAATCTTCATCATATACGCAGGCCTGTTTACCATGTAATGGTACTTATTCATAGGTTTCTGGAGTTGGAGCATGAGTATTTTGAGAGGATCATGTTTATACCACCCATAAATATAGTATTTACTGGTACCTGGCTTTTCCATGTCACTGCTCTTTTTCTGCCTATAATACCTGACAGATTTTCCTTCTTGATACAGTGAATACAAAAGAAGTATGGAGATTCAGACTCCCACAAGAATTATATTAGATAAAAGATCTGTAGGGAAATTACAAGGGAAACAGATTCTAAAAACATCGAAGAAAGAAAAGATGCTTTTAGAGTAGTCGTATCCAAAGAAGACAGTCTTGTGTTCTTTCACGTTTACAATAATTGGGCCCAGTCTTTACTTCCAAGGTCTGTAATTATTCACATAGCTACAGGAAGTAAACCATTACAAGTAATTAGTGAGGAATCTCTTAATGTAGAATCAGAACTTTCCAAGATGACTAGACATTCACTTTGAGCAGTAACTTGCAATACTTTACAAAAATTTACATCCGTTTTGATAATGTATGATATTGCATCTTAATGTGTGATTTCTTTCCTACTTAGATCATCACGAAGTATGTGTATGAGCTCCTGGAAAAGGACTGTAATCTGAAAAAAATCACTCTTCCAGTAAGTCCAATTATTTTTTTAAAAATGGGTATTTCAAGTAAAATATTTCAATTTCATTTTGAAAATGTTGACACAAATGAAAGACTTACCTTTTCCTTTATCCTTTTTCTTTTCAGTGGAATAATTTATTTTTACTTATTTATTTGAAGTAAACCAGGACATTTTTTGTTGCATTGGACATTCGCTGTTTAAACATTTCTTGATTTAAAAAAAAGTTTTATTTCTATATATAATACGTTTCCTCTGAACATGCCCAAATTCATTTCTGGTACTTGCTATTTGTAACACTGCTCTGGACCTTTTTAGCAGAACACTTTTTGAAATTTTGCATATTTTGCAGTTTTGGAGTGAAAAATTGAGATTTGTTTTCAGACTCAGATTTTTTTAAAAAAACTTTTAATTTAAAACATTAAATATTAAGCTTTCAAATGAAAAAATAGTAGTCTTATGTGTGAAATGATGTTTGGACTGCATTCGGTGGTCTTTGCTGTTCCTGGTAACGTTGTATTATATATAACAACTTGGAAGGTTTGATGAAAGTAATCTATTTAATGCACAAAACTTGTATGTAGGGGCCGGGGATTTACTCAGTGGTTCTGCTGCCTGCCTCACCAAGCGCACGGTCCTGAGTTCTATTCCCCAGTACCAAAAAAAAAACCCCAAAATTTGTATGTAGGTAATTTCATTTGCATGAATTTTGCATAAGAATTTTAAAATTCCTTAGGTAATGATATTCTATTATAAGTTGAGGAGTTTGAGGGTTTCTTAATGTTAGGTATTTCAGAGCCCCCACGGAGCAAGCCCCCTCCTCTCCTTTCCCCTACCCCACTCTGGCCACTGGGAACAGGGAACTTCCGCATAACTAAGGCTTGACCTCCCTTTGTTAGTGACTCTCTGCCTAGTTAAGGTCTTTCTGCCCCACCGGTTTCATGGTCAGATGTTCCAGTAAGATAGGGGCTTCCCTAAAGTGGTGACTCCATCCGCCCTGACCGAAACCTGTTGCTACATACCCCAGCTCCAATCACCCACCCCCACCAATGGACTAGTGCTCTCCCACCTGCAAGATCCCTCTATAAACTTCCAGCTCAGCCCAGGCAGTTAGTTGCTGGTCTCCATTCTGTGAGTCAGCCCGGCAGGCTGCAGACTGCCGCCTCAATAAAGCTTCCTTGAACGTCCCTGTGTGCCCCCTTCTTCGGCGACCCTTTCACTTAACAAAGTTGATTTCATAATTCAATTTTAAACTTCTGTTTTTACATTTGATTTTCTATAGGTAACCCCAAGTGCTAGGTCACATTGTTAGACATTCATTGATCCTTCAATTCAGCAAAGGTTTATTTGAAGGTCTTTTAGGTTCTGGACACTCCAAGTGCTGTGAATATTAGTGAATAAAACATTCTGTGTAATAGGCCAACCCTAAGTTTATTTGGAATCTTTCTTTCCTTTAGAAATCTATGAAAGCCAAGATTTTAGTAATTTGGGGGAAGGAGCATGTCAGTCGTTTGGATTGCAACCTCTCATTTTAGTTTCGACTTTCAATCTAGTGTCTTTATAAAAAACTGTATTCACTTTGGTCTTCTGGAAAGCCAAGATACAATTCTGTCACTTTGTCCAGTCTTCCTTTTTTGTTATTTCTTTTAGAGTTTCTGAAGAATAATATTTAAAGATACCATATACTCAACATTAAGCCCTCTAGGATATTTCTACTTCCAGTGAACCCTAATCTCTAGATTTCCTGTACAATTCACAAGATAATTGGCTTTATACATCATGTTATAAGGTTAAATTTTATTATGTATTGAAAACCTGAGATCAGGTAGAGGACTTTTATTTTATAATCTCTTTATTATCGTCTCAATTTAAATTTAGACTGATGCTAATCTACATACAGAGAAATTTATATTATATAAGACCTAAAAAGAACAGCATGTCCATTTTTGGTAATAAAGACTCCCTTATTTTGTAAACTTAAAAAAATCAAATTAATCTCTTTTTTAAGTGATCATATATTTTAAATAATTCTGAAGATTTTCCTCAATAACTATTATGTTTTTTCCAGATTTTCCTAAATCCAAGACTTAACAGTGTTTTTTAAAAGAAGACATTCTTTTTACTAAACGAGTACCACTGTGCCTTTTTTCCCTGACAGTGAACTAAAATTTAGTTTTATAGTTAAACCACTTTAAAAAGACCCTCCCCCCCCCCCACACACAGTTTTTTTAGATGATAGCGCTTTGGGGAAGCCCATGATTTGATAGTAAAGATCATAATCATGTCTTAGTTTTGCTCTACACTGAGCATAAACGGGATAAAATGTTCTCTATTATAGTATCTTATACCTGTATAGAATACTGATTACATGAATTATCTTAACAAATTCAGTAGCTTTTTTCAGTTTATACATATATCATGTTTGAGTGAAACATCACAATTTGTGAAGTTCCTCAGTATATCAAAATGAATTGTTAATTGCTAAATACTGTTTTATACAGTCTCAGTGACCTAATGGTATTTGAGGTTGATTTGTCCATAAAGTGAAGTCCTGCACCGGGATGGACTTTATGTTTATTCCTTATTGAACTCTTTGCTTAATCACTTGCCACTGTTTCAAGATAAATAGCCTTGGAATAGCCACTTCTAAACTTTGTTAGGCTAATGAAGAAAAATTTATTTATATAGATATTTTAATGTCTAAACATCTCTGACTTTATATCGTTATAATTACAGTGTATAGACAGAGTCCTCTATTTAATTGCGGTGGATATTACCCAATGACTAGCTCAAGTACTGTCTTGCTCTTACCACATAGTGGTAATTATTAATAATAATTAATATTATTATATTATTATGGTTTTTCCTGGAATTTTCTGGTATTCTCATATTTTCAAGTCAGCTTTTCTGGATGTTCAGGTAAACTTTTATTTATTTATTCATGGCTACTTTAATTTGTAGCCCCTTAAAAATTCTTGAGTAGCATTATAATAAAAAACACTTTTGTATCTTCTCAAAATAAATACTTTCAGTTTTAAAATGATTAATTTAGAATTCAAAGTGGCAAAATTCCATTGCTTAAAAGATTGAGTTCTCTATTGGTTAACAAGACTTAGTCAAATAGAAAGAAAGACACAGTAATCAGTGCCCACTTGAAAGTCTATAGCTACAGGTTTTCTCATTAAGGTAGATAGATGGCCTTTTCATTGCCATTCTGGGATTCATTAAAGCCTCACTGACTATGAGGTGCTTTTATTTGTGCAAGTTTGGACTTAGTCCTCTTTGGAAACTATTGTGACTTTTTAAATTGTACAGTGACATCTATGCCTTTTAATTTTTTTCTTCTGTTCTTATCACTATTTTCTTTTAAAGCCACTTTACCTGAGAGATTCCTCTATTTTCATATAATGTTCCTAGGTAAAGGGAACTTTTCTTCTCAGGTTTGGTTTCCTCTGTTTTTCATCTACTTTTCTTCCTGGGAGGCTTCAGTTTCTTTTGCTGCCAACATCGTAATTTGCTTATTGTGGACACAGCATGCAAGTGAAGCTCATGATTGTGTTTCACCTCATATTTCTCTTCCCACATTTTTAGTTACTGCTCATAAAGTTATACTTATATCATTTTCATTCTTAACATTGTGTAGCTCTTTTAAAATTCTTTATCATTATACATTAGTCTAATTTTCAATATATGCTTGTGAACAAGGCAAGTATTATAGCCATTTTAAGAGGATGCATTATTGAGTTAAATTCCTTTTGCCTAAGGGAAGTCACTGGTGATGCTTGATAAGTGTTTGTATTCTAAAAATTTTTGTTCATTCCTTTACTTGTCAAGTACCTATAACACACCAGGTTCCATTCTAGACACTTAAAACATAACTGAATACAAAATAGAGAACTTTGTGACTTCTTGGATTACATTCTCGTAGAGAGAGCAGATGGTGAATAAACCATGTACAAACAGATGCATAAAGTACACAGTATGTCAGATTGTGGTATATGCTATGCAAGAAAATAAATCAGGGAAAGAGACCAGGAAATTCTTAGGGAGGTGTTTGAAATTTTAAATAAATAGGTGGGGAAGACTTTACTGAAAAGTTCTTTTTTTTTTTCTTAAGCCTGGTGGCCATTGTGTTCTTGCTGAAAAAAATGTCATTTATACTTCCTTTAGAGCTAAGCATCTAGTACAGAAACCAGTCTGATTGTTTTAGAAGTACAGAAATTTTATTTTATTTTTCTATTCCCATGCTTTCTGGCTGTGAATGTTTAGAATCTAGTGCACTTTTTGGTATCTAGAACTTTTGTGTATTTCTTATTTCAATTTCTCCATAAATACCTATTTGTTGGCAATGCGAGGAGTTATTGCATTGCACAGCATGTGGATAGATCCCTACTGGGGTGTGTGTTACTAGCCATCCAAATGCTCCAGCTTCTGGCTCTGACTTGGCTGCACAAAGACTTCCATTTCCAGTTACTGGCCACCATTGATGTGGGATACAGTTCATTATTACACAAATAATAAAAGTTTGGGAAGTTATAACTCCTTCCTTATATTCTTGTGTATCTTTCAAATTTAAATTATACATCATCCAGTTAGATACTTAAATATTAAGCACAATCAAAATGGATAAACATTCAATATTTCCCCCATTAACTAACTAGTACTTAAATCAGGGTTACTGAAATGCATGAATAATGTTGCTTCATAAAATAATTGTATAATTCTTTGTTTACAGTCTCAGTGAAACTTGAGGTCCTTGTACATAGAAAAGTGTTTGAATTTCTAAATACTTTCCTTTATCCGCTTTTAAAAATTTTTAGTATTCAAAACTAAAATATGGTTTCCAGTTGATGTATCTTCGTATTTAGGTTTTCTATTTTCTATTGTAGGTATAATAAACATGAGTTATAGAATGATAAGCTTAATAGCTGTGTGACCTTGGGCAACTCATTTAAATTATCTAGGCTTCAGTTTCGTCTAATAATGAGCATTATAATAATATCACCTTAATAAAATTATTAAATGAGAATGTTTTTAAAAGTTAACATAGTATCTGAATCACAGGAAGCACTAAAAAATTTGACTTATTCTTTAAGTATGATGATAATACTAACCACACAATAATAATGTAGGGAGGCATATTTCCAGTATCCTTTACAATATATTTTTATATTCAAATTGCTGTCATGTTTTGCTTGTCCACCTAATATGTAATTACTAATCTCTACTGAAAATTTTAATTTTATTTTAAAGTTGTTTCAACTCCTTTAATTCTGTATAGCTATCAAGTAATTTATAATTCGTTTTTTAATTTTTTGTATGCCTCATCAGCTATCATTTATTTATTACCTAATTTTTTTAAATTACAGGTAGATGCCACTGAAAGTGAACCAAAGAGTTTTATCTTTATGAGTGAGGACGCTTTGACAAACCCACAGAAGCTGATGGTCCTCATTCACGGTAGCGGTGTTGTCAGGGCAGGTCAGTGGGCTAGAAGGCTTATTATAAATGAAGACCTGGACAGTGGCACACAGATACCTTTTATTAAGAGAGCTGTGCATGTAAGTGCGATTTCCTTTTTCTGGCATTTTTTATAGTTTTATGTGTTGTAAAGTGTTTTCTCTTGTCACTTCAAAAAGTAGATCCTAAGTATAACTGGTCTTCACATGATTATTTATCTTACATGATGATTTGTTTGCATTATTTTGCAGTTGTTTGGGAAAACAGAATGGTATTGAGCACACAAAGATTTAGACAGTATCTTTGAAATGAATATTTCCAATTTTAATATTATTTTTAATTAAATGAAATATCAAACTATCAAATATTCATCTATATTGAACATACTTTAACAACATATCATTATTGCTTTTGTAAACCTTTGACTACCTAATTTAGCAAAGTGAGAAAATAAAGGAGATCTGCTAGATAAGCTACTCTCTTTTCATTAAAGGAAAAGTTAAGAGTAACTCAGTGATTTTTTTTTCTTGTCTTTAAAATATTCCTTAGAGCCCCCCAAATAAATTGCTTTAATCATAAAACAAACATACAACATGGTAAACTGTGATGTTTACTAAATTTTTTATTACTTGATTTATAACAATTGGTGCCTTAAGATTGTATTCAAGATTTTCTTTTTTGAAACAATGAAATTATTTTTCTTACCTTACACTGTTAGATCTTAATGTTCATCTAATGTTATTTTAGTGTCTCATTTTTAATTTCTTCATTGAAAAGCCCAATTATGCAAAGTATGCATTTTTTTTTTTACAGCTGAGGAGAAATCTTCAGGAAAAAAAGTATAATGGCCTCTTATGTAAAAATTAATATAAGAGCGCAAAATTACTGAATATTGAGTATTAAATGTTTTGCTGTGTGTTTCAAAAGATAGTAAAGGAATCCCAAAAATGAAAATTCGTTTTAACTTGAAAGTCTATGCTTCTTGAATTATTAAAATAAATTGAACAGGTAAACTAAAGGCATTTTTCAGAAATACAAGGTTTCAAAAATTTATTTTGCATTAACTGTTTGATGCTTCCAGCAGAAAATGAAGGCATGTGTCAATTATTATGTACCTCCTGGAGGCACTTCAGTTTGAATTTGATGTAATACCAAGCCAGTACTTTTACCTCTATCCAGTTTGTCCTCCATAAACTTACTGATATTTGTATCCTTACTTCTCTTTCATTTATTTTATTCTGGGGGGTGAATTTGACATCTCTCTCTCTTTTTTTTTTCCACTAACATTTTAGTGTAATTAGTGGCAGAGATAATCAAAATAATTCAATATAGCGTTTTAAGTACATGTTTTGTGTGGTTGTCTCAATGGTAGGTAGTGATTCTACAGTCTGTATCTTTTAAAATAATGATAGAAAGTGAATTTCTACATAACCAAATGCTTTGTAAATCTCAGGAGATGACTTCCTTATATAGCAATATTGATCAACCTAGCACATTTTAGGACTTTATCTTAGAAATTACTATAACTATAGCAGGGCTAACTTAAGGAACTTTAATTGATATGAATTATATGCCTTGAGTTAGAGTTTTTAGTTTGTAAATCATTTGCTTTTAATAAGCTATGGCTTAACTTTTCTATTATGGGTGTTGACTTTTTTCTTTTCTTACTCCATTTTGATTTTTCTCCCTTTTTGGTGTGTACTTTTGTGATTGAAACTGATTGATTATACTACTAGAATTTCTTCAAAATGTTCATGGAGCTGTTATCAAGGGTTATCTAGGATAGGTTACTTTTTTTCAGTAATTTAAGTGATGAATTTTTTGAAACACCTTAACTACTGCCCTCAATTCATGATATTTCGAATATATACTTTTAAGAGCTTGCTAGTTCAACAAAAGTGTCTGAGAAGTATGCAAGTATTGATAGAAATCTAATAGCTACCTATAGTTAATTTTAGATAGGAGTAAGAATATAGAAATATCATAATAAAATAGGCATAGTTATTATTTTTAATAAGAATAATGCCATCCCTGAGCTTATGAAAAAATTACTGAATATTTGTATAATAGTACAAGTAGGAGATAGAAGTGTGGGAAGAAATATATATTTAAGGGCTCAGAAACGTCAAAATCGTGATAAACTTTATATTATAAAATATACTTTTGTTCCACTTCTGAATAACCAGTGGGTCACAGGAAATTAAAGAAGATATCAGACACTTTCTACAATTAAATGACAATGCCAGTACAACATATCAGAATCTCTGTGACACAATGAAAGCAGTCTTACAAGGGAAACTCATAGCAGTGAATACTCATATTAGGAAAACACAGTGAGCTCAATTAAACAACCTGATGCTGAACCTCAAGCTTCTAGAAAAAGAAGAGCAGGAAAAACCCAAAGCTCATACAAGGGAGGAAATTATAAAGATCAGCGCAGAAATCAATGCAGTGGAGATGAAGAGAACAATACAAAAAATCAATGAAACCAAGAGTTGGTTCTTTGAGAGAATCAACAAAATTGACAAACCCTTAGCCAACCTTATCAAAAAAAGGAAAGAAAAGACCCAAATCCATGCAATTAGGAATGAAAAGGGTAAAATTACAACGGACCCAGCAGAAATCCAGAGGATCATCAGTACCTACTTTGAGAACCTGAGACACCACTAAGATGGACAACACAGAAGAAATGGACAGATTCCTAGATACATATGAATTACCAAAGTTGAATGAAGACCTAAAAATTCTAAAAAACCTAATATCAATCATTGAAATTGAAAACATAATTAAAAACTTACCAAGAAAAGCCTGGTTCCTGATGGGTTCACTGCTGAATTCTACAAGATAATTAGAGAAGAATTATTGCGACTGCTATTTAAACTTCACTGAAAGTGAAGGGAAGCAATACTCTCAAATTCATTTCTGGAAGCAAGCATCACCTTGATCCCCAAAGCAAAGAAAGACCCAACCAAAAAAGAGAACTATAGGCCAATCTCACTAATGAACATAGATGCAAAAATCCTTACTAAGATACTGGCAAATAGAATACAGAAGA